ACTAGTGGAGAGCACATGCACAAGGAGAAGGGATCAACAAAGTGAGGATCCGGAACACCACATCAAACATAACTTGACAATGAGAGACTAGACTAATGGAAAGTACATGCACAAGGAGAAGAGACTAACTAAGCAAAGATTCGGAACATGAACTTGACAAAGAGAGGCTAGACTAGTCGAAGCACATGCACAAAGAGAAGTGATCAACAAAGTGAGGATCCGGAACACCACATCAAACATAAACTTGACAATGAGAGACTAGACTAGTGTAAAGTACATGCACAAGGAGAAGAGACTAACTAAGCAAAGATCCGGAACATGAACTTGACAAGGAGAGGCTAGACTAGTGAAAAAGCACGTGCATATGAAGGGAAGATCAACCGGAACATCACTCCAAGTATGAACATGACAATGAGTACCTAGACTAATGAAAAAGCACATGCATATGAAGGGAAGATCAACCGGAACACCACACCAAGTATGGACATGACAATGAGTGGCTTAGACTAACGGAAAGCACATGCACATGAAGGGAAAGATCATCCGGAACATCACATCAAGTATAAACAAGACAAAGAGATGTTAGACTAATGAAAAGCATATGCACATGAAGGGAAGATCATCCAGAACATTACACCAAGTATGAACATGACAATGAGTGGCTAGACTAATGAAAAGCACATGCATATGAAGGGAAGATCAACCGGAACATCACTTTAAGTATGAACATGACAATGAGTGGCTAGGACCAACGGAAAGTATATGCACATGAAGGGAAGATCATCCGGAACATCACACTAAGTAAAAACATGACAACGAGTGGCTAGTTTAATGAGAAAGTATATGCATATGCAGGGAAGATCAACCGGAACATCACACCAAGTATGAACAAGACAAAGAGATGCTAGAACTAGATGGAAAGCACATGCACATAGAGGGAAGATCATCCGGAACATCACACCAAGTATGAACAAGACAATGGGATGCTAGAACTAAATGGGAAGCACAT